ACAATCAGATTGGCTCCAATCAGCCATCTACCTCAACTATTTTACCCCGCCTCTCAAGGAAGGTATAATCCGATTAACCTTATCCCTAGAAGCGGTAATCTTGTTCCTAGAAGCCTGAAGAAGAATAATTCCTCTTTCCAGGAATTATTAATTTGGCTAAGTAGCTGCGGTCTTAATCCCTTTGACCTTTCTTAGATATGTGATCCATAGTCTGTCTACTTAACATGTACTTCCAATCATCATTCGTTAAGTGTTGTAGTAATGATCCTCTAGCTAATAATTCCTACTAACTTGTGGATTACAACACCACTCCCCTCCTTAAACACGCATATGTCCCCATATGCATCATTGCAATGGTTCCATTAGTGCAAGGACCTGGAGGATGCACCCACCATATATGTACAACTAAAAAATCATTCAATAAATTAAAATTTTCCCCGACATGACTCACAACACTTCTCCAACATATACATTATATTCACATCATAGCACAGGTAAAATAGTCTGTAATAATTTTTCCCATCTCCAACAATGCACATATACCTAAACTGCTGACATATAATTACATACAAACATAACCATAAAATTAAATGGACCAGAATGCTGGCACTTAAACAGAAATGACACTAGTCATTAATATATACACAACACATATATATCTAAGGTTCTTCATCCTTAGTAATAAGTTAATAACAATTTAACATCTTGCCCTGTACTGTTGACATAAGGGCTTACAATGGTCATACACTGTTTCACTGGCCTCCTCCACAATTGGCAGCATCACTTCTCTTGTCTTCGTGTCCCATGGTTGCTAGGTCATAGATCCTCCATGACCCAGACAAAACCCAGGCTGTCCAGCCTGGTGAATGTTGTCAATGTCCCATCGTTGCTCTGAGCTAATGTGATCCTCGCCTCCAGAGCAACGGAGATTCCTACCCCAGGGTCATGTTCCCTCGGGTCTGTGCTGACGTCTCGTTCCAGGGCACCAATCCCAGAACGTTGTAGATACCTCACAGCTCTCTGGTCATCCTTCCTTGCTGTGCTCACCACAGCTGTAGCACATTACTCTAGGCCCATCTGCCCAGAGTGTGTCCACCTGTATTCATACCTTCCCGACCGCTGTACCTGCAAAATATTCCCTCGGAGCCCCTGGCTCGATCCCATTATTACATAACCCCCTCGGCTCCTTACTCTCTCCCCGTATATAGCCTGAGCGCAGCTGCAAAACCATTGCAGCTGGGCCTTATCCCTTCTTTGATGTCAGGGGGCGAATTTCGCCTATAACGTCACGTTGGCTTCACTTCCTCCCCCTTTTTTTCTAGAATTACTGAGTGTAGCCTCATAGCTTCCCTTCTACTCTACCTGAAGCTCTGTGACATTATCCCGGGGGACCTTCTCAATCCTAACACTCAATAATGGTGCCGATGAGGTAATATACAGTATATACATACACATACATTATCACAATAAATACCTCATTAAAATCATTTCACAACTAATGTCACTAAAGCATCATACTGCCACTGGCTCGCCTCTAGCGAGATTCTTGTAACAAGTTAATTAATGAGAAATTAGTATATCTGCTTGGCTCGCCCACTGCAACCATCAACACCTGAAATTTTGAAATTCTACATTGTAATCTTATCCATAAGACTTACCCACTCCGCCACACCATCACCTCTGGTCAACCCAACCACTGATGACCTCATTATAACACCACACATCCCTACAACCACTTCCTGCGTCCTAACACACCGACCTTGCTACGCCAATACTCACCTTACCGACCACTACCTGGCGCCCCTGCGCCACCATATACTCCACAACACCACACTCCATACCAGGCGTCCAAACGCCACTACACTACATCACCCAATGGCGTCCCCAACGCCCTCAACACAACACACGGCGTCCCCAACACAACACACGGCGTCCCCAACGCCCTCAACACAACACACGGCGTCCCCAACGCCCTCAACACAACACACGGCGTCCCCAACGCCCTCAACACAACACACGGCGTCCCCAACGCCCCTCAACACAACACACGGCGTCCCCAACGCCCTCAACATACACACAGCGTCTTCAACGCCATCAACACAACACACACGGCGTCCCCCAACACCATTACCACCACAGGCATATGCCTTGCGCCAGAGCGCATCAAAACACCACGAGACGTCACAACCAATAAGTAACCAGACGCCACACACACTCCCTTTTCTCTCGTAATCCGTTAATTACCTGACCAACACTCGTCAGGCATAATTTCTTGTATAGTGGCCATCCGCCACATTCTACCACCTGCGTTAACATACTTCAACGCTAATGTCTACAATACACCCGGTGTTACAACAACCAGTTATGCTACACATGCAACACCTTGGCGCTACAATGCCAACAATGTCATGCACTATATTACATCCATAATATCAACAGTCAAAACATGCACATTTCACTACAGTAAATACTATGCATTACGCTGGCGTTTAATAAGCCACTACACATGCATTACACTACACACCCCGGCGTACAAACGCCAATACACAACCATGCACTACACTTGGCGTCCAAACACCAATACACAACCATGCACTACTCCCGGCGCCACACACCCCCACCAACGGGACACGCTCCCCGTGTCCCAAGGTAACACTCTCCATAATGCTACCTGCACCCACTAAAAATCTTTATGGCCCTCTCCAGGGTACACTAGACGGCGAACCCCAGACGTCAATTTATGCGTCGCTCGCTATGCCAAGGCGTCCATAATTCACTGCGCCTATTTTCTGTATCTACACCTGACAACGCCGGAACTCGCGCTGTACTTTAGGTAATATTTCATTATCCTTAAAATATTCGATTTACACGTTACATGAAATTTAATTAACTTTAAATTACGTAGTTTTCACGCTTAATTTCACCTTAGCAACGGTTTCTCACTATTTCCGCCTTACCAACGATATAAAACAAGCTCCAAGGTGCGGCTCGCTTGGCCCACCCATCGCTTGGCCCATACATGGCTGCACATGGCCCACGCTGGCCCACATTCACCCGCGCTAGTTTACCTCGCCACGCTGTGTAATCCGCACTACGAACACTGTATAATCCGCACTATGAACACTGTATACTTGTTTTGGACCCCGATGCTTCAGTGGTCCAGACTTGCCTCTTAGCCGTCTCTCGTTGCGGGAATCTGGAAAGAAAGAAATAAACCCCACATGTGCCCCACAATGGCCTAGTCCCTTTAATTAACTAACTCCTCTGACATGGTCTCACCTGACCCTTCTTTCCTCTGTCTAGTAACCACCATTCTCACCACAACCCGACGTCTACCATTTCCCGAACATTCCCTCACCAACTAAACCAGAACCGCACTTCCTTCATCTCGCACAGTGTTCCAAAACCTGTTTGCGCTGCCACCAAATGTCGTGACGCTGAACCCCAGTTCATTCCGAACACAGCGATTACACAACATATAACACCTTGCCTCAGCAACCGTTACTTGGTCACTAAGATCACATCAGGTTCTCGCATAGCTGTCTGCTACACTTCGCTGCTGCCGCAAACGGAGATCCAGAGGACTTCTCAGTTCAACTTCCACAATCAGACTGGCTCCAATGCCATCTACCTCAATCATTTCACCCCGCCTCTCAAGGAAGGTATAATCCGATTAACCTTATCCCTAGAAGCGGTAATCTTGTTCCTAGAAGCCTGAAGAAGAAGAATTCCTCTTTCCAGGAATTATTAATTTGGCTAAGTAGCTGCGGTCTTAATCCCTTGACCTTTCTTTGATATGTGATCCATAGTCTGTGTACTTAACATGTACTTCCAATCATCATTCGTGAAGTGTTGTAGTAATGATCCTCTAGCTAATAATTCCTACTAACTTGTAGATTACAACAATGTACTAAAAATGGCTCGCGAAATTGACATACTGTCCCGTTTTCTGTTTTTGGATCATCTGGTAGGTTAGGATAAGGGCACTGTAGCACGGCAATTTCTTGACGTTTGGAAATCTTAGGAGGACGGGCTGCATGCTTAAATTTTGGCTCGTCAGTGCTGTATTACTTGTACCATTATGTGAATAAAAGTTATCAGAAATATTGTAAAGAATTGTTTGTATCTTTTGAACTTGCTAACATCGTTTTGGTAACCACTTATTAGAGAAAGTCCTTAACCTAGATCTGGTAATGTTTAAACTCAGTTGGCTGTGTGATTTCACAGTGTGTGTGTGTAAGGCTGTCTTCAATTATTAGCCTAATATTTCCGGCTATTAATTGGATAATTACCTTTTAATCTCTGTTCAGGTTAGGTTTAATATACCAGGCATGTTACTAATTATTACTGATTGATACTATGATATTTTTGTGTAGTGATTTTTCACTCTTATAATATACTCCCAACGGTCATAATTTAAAGGGATCCTGCAGGTTGGCTTAGTATTTTTATGAAGATTTTTAACGTCATTGCTGTGTAAGTTACTGGAGAACCTTAATTTTGTTTTTGTACTATTTGCAACAGTAATTAATGGGCGATCCAGTGAAATAGTTGGTCATGTTATACTGCTAGATAAATGTTGAAGTGCCTTTGTTATCATTCTAGCCTAATCTGGAGTATTAATTTAGTGGCACTTTTGTAAATTAAGTTTGTTATAACGTTTATAATTTATTCTGCACCTGTGAAATATATTAGTTACCAAATTTGAGCTGGCATTTCCGTTATCCTAAACGTTTGTGTACACAGGCTATAATTCCGTTCTTCAGTCTAGTACAGAGGTGAGTGCTTATTCATGTATTGAATTATGGAAACCCTTGTGGACAACGAACCTCATTGTCCGCAAGTGTTAAACAGCTGGGAACATGTGTTGAACACTGAATTGGTCAATTCCATCAAAATCAAATAGAATGTAACAAAAAATATAATAAGTAATATAAACAGAACACAAAAACTATTCAAAGAACACCATTACTTTGCATCACCGAGAAACTTTGCATTACCGATTAGTGCAGACAGCTCCCATGATAACGTCAGTGTGTCCGTTGATATACTTCGTTATCGAATGCATCACTAAATCTGCTCCAAGATCAAGAGGTCGTTGAAAATATGGAGACATAAATGTGTTATCCACAACCATGAATGATGTGGTATGCTTTTTCACTATGGCTGCCACAGCTGCAATGTCAACAATCTTCATTGTAGGATTGGTTGGAGATTCAATCCAAACCATCTTCGTGTTGGGTTTAAATGCTGCTTCCACATTCTTTAAATCAACAGCATCAACAAAATCTACCTCAATTCCCATCCTGAAAAGGATCATTATGAAATTATAAATAAAATTCCCTAAACATAAATGAAATAATATAGTATTGTACTGACATTATTGCACAAGTATTGAGCAGTATACACAATAATGATTTTATAGAAAAGGGAATGCAGGTAGGGAGACGTTGCCAGAAGGGATGAGGTTATCTTGAGATGATTTCGGGGCTTTAGTGTCCCTGGTCACTATTATAGTGGCAATGTGCCAGGGGATTGGAGAAGAAAACAGTGAGTATACCACTGCTACTATACCATTAAGTAGAAAAAAAGGTGCAAGTGCAGTAGTGACAAAAAATTAAGAGGCATTAGTTTAGAAAGTGTAGTGGGCATAAAGTGGCAGGATAGTGATCAAAAGAGTACAGGAAATTACAGAGAAATTTATCATTGATGAACAAAGAAGGCTCAGTGGAGAAAGAAGGCTTATAGATTAGTTATTTGCAATACAACATCTTACACAGAAGGCATGCAAGATTTAAGGTGTATGTGGTATTTATGGACTTAAAAAAATACAATAAAGTTATTAAAGTAGAACAAGAAGTGATGAACATAAATAGTTATTAGATGTCTGTTAAAGGTGCAGGTAGCAATACATGTGTAACTAAATGATGTACTTCATGGAGTATTAACTATTGGTGTAATAACTGTGTAATAATTAATGGTGTAATAATAATCTCAGTTCCCATTCTGAAAATTATTATTATCAAATCAAATGTACAAATTATCAATTTATATAGCATTGGCATCATCGTATAGTACTCCGATTATTAAAAATAATATATGCAAAAAAAAAAAATATACAATAATTTCCGCAATGCAAGTTGTGATGTGACAATTTAGATAATTTTTGCACATTTCGAAACATTTTGCACATGAACGATTGACAAGAAAATACAAGTTTCCTAAGCTACATACTTGAACAGAGAAAATAATGGCGGATGGAAAATAATGGTCAGGAATGTTGTAAAGAGACTAGGATATGAGTGGAGTAATATGTAGGATAGTACCAGTAGGCTAGATTGTGGGGCCTCTATGCTTTGTAGTAGTTGCACTATAGTAGCGTACTCTACACGACAAAACTAATCTCGAACTGCATTCTTAAATGCATGGATGAGAAAGAGCTACATACTGGTACAAAGTAACGAGGACACAGTTTCCACTGACAAACTCATACAAGGGGTAGAAATAGCCTAAGCTACTCTATCCCTTTGAGATGTATTTTTTTCTTGTCTCAATAAACATACTTGAACTCATACAAGTAGTCAAAATGACTTAAGATAAAACTTCCACCATGTAGGAACACAATGATCCTCGGTACAGTAAAAGTACTTGGTTGAAAATACCGAATTGCTCTACTCTTGAGCCATGCCTCACTGCTCCCTAAAGTAGCTCAGCAAGATGCAGAACCAACCCACTACAAACTACGTCTCCAAATGTACTTTTGTATGCAAGGGTAAGAAAACGATCATACGGTTCAAGAAATCATTAACGTGATACCAACTGAACCACTGTATGGAAGCATGGAAGACCATCTTGAGGATGCCACCACGTAACAGCCCACCACCGTAGCATGCTGATGAAAATAGTCCCGGGGCAAAGTTACGAAGAATATCAGGATGGTGAGGTAATAAACACAGCAAAACAAGGAAGATCTCATGAAATTCTAAAATATGGCATACATGAACTCTAAGGCCTGTTAACTTCTTCAATATATCTATTACTATACATACGAGAGCACACAATTTCAACTTGGTAAATCATCCTAAATAAGCAACAAAATACAATATACTTTACCTTGAGGCCACGTTATTGAAGTATATGTTGGTGCCATTATTGATATCGTCCGTGGCGATGATGTGCTCCCCAGCAGAGATGAGGTGAGTTATTGCGGTCACGGCTGCCATACCTGAAGATGTTACTAAGCCTGCCAATGGAAAGGTCATTCATTAGGAAATACTGATGAGAAATGAAGACTAACAGCAAGAATTCGTAACAAATTATTACAATTACTGTACTTACAAGACAAGCCACACTACCCACTAAACATTACAATTACTGTACTTACAAGACAAGCCACACTACCCACTAAACATTACAATTACTGTACTTACAAGACAAGCCACACTACCCACTAAACATTACAATTACTGTACTTACAAGACAAGCCACACTACCCACCAAACATTACAATTACTGTACTTTACAAGACAAGCCACACTACCCACCAAACATTACAATTACTGTACTTGCAAGACAAGCCACACTACCCACCAAACATTACTGTGGGAAATTTTACCCACCATATCTAATAATCATCTAAGAAATGTATTATTTCTGTATCATATCTATATCATATCTAAATCGTATCAAAATCATATCAAATCATATCAAAATCATATTAGAATCATAATAGATTCATTATACATCTTGATCCTAGATGACGATACCACTATGATCACGTTCGCCATAGGGCCCTATAGATGCCTACGTGACTTTGTGCATGATCTCTCAAGGATCCAGAAGTTTCTAGAAGGATTTGTTAATTAAAAAACTATTGGAACATTAATTGTTTTCGGTAGGGATTATAAATCGAATCCTTAATAATAATCAGTGGTACTACCAAGTACTACTTATAATCTTTATATCCTATATCTAATTATATTATAATCACATCTTATCTCAATCATAAGTCTAGACAGTAAAAATAATCAATCAATATTCATTGAAAGCTACCCCTCTCAAGGGAGAGGGAGGAGCATCTCGGGAACAAGAAGCACCCACCACACCCAGCGGCACTACGCGTTTGTTTACAACACAGTGAACAAGTGTGACGGATCCTTAGCGAACATTACTAGCTCAGGACATCTTATCTAATTATCTTTATCACCAGTGAACACTCTCTAGAACTGGGGGAGTACCTGGACAATATATCTACAAGGAAAATCCCTAGAACATTTATATCTATAAGTGTAGAGTGGAGCACACAGTGACTTGTCTCCACCTTCACCATCAACTATCATCCTTCTGCAACGCAGTTTAAAGTAAAATCATGTAGCAATGCTACAACAACAATCTACAGCAAAGCTGTTATATAAAATATCGTGCCTAAACTCGCGACAAGAGAGTTATCAAGTCTGGCACACTGTCAGACAGGCATTCCGGCAGTCAGAGAAGTATATTGATGTTATTGAGTATTAATTGGCCAATTGTATGCTTGTATGACTTTAATATCCTATAAGTCTGTCTGTCGGTTATAAAGCGAGGCAACGCCTCATATTTCAGTAAGTTTATTAATATTGTAGTGCAGCAGTTGAATCTTTAAGCACCAAACCTCATGAGTGTCCATTGTGTGAGAAAAGATTCAGTCGCAATAAGTAAACAAAACCTCATGAGTGTCCATTGTGTGGGAAAGGATTCAATCAAGCTGACTGTACCTCATCATATAAAGTGAATATAAATATATGTGTATATATACTTGAATATATAAATTAAGTTAACAATTGCTTGCTTAGTTATTTTTAAGTTATCATATAAGTTCATTTAATTGAATATAATTTCTTGTACTTAGTAACAGTACTTAGACTACATTTAAAGTCATTTATCATACTTTTACAATTTAAATTGTTGTTTATAGTATAAGAACATATTGGCTGTTAATAGTTATGGTGCTAGGCTAGACTATGTACATGTTTAAATCTCTGATTTAAACAGAGCCAGTGTTCAGTCATATAACTGAATTTATTAAATCTTATCCTTGTATAAAATAAAAGCTGATGTGAGATACCTGTCGGCAGGTGGACTGTGGATCTTCAATCAACCTATCAATTCATTCACCCCACCTGCCCCTTAAACAGCCCACAATCTGTCATTAGGAAAAGAGGAGCTAGGATTTACAACCCTAGCTAGAGATTTTAGTTGAATTAATTTGCAGACAGTAATTTTTAATTTAGTTCAGTACAAGTCCCTGGTAGTCCTCCTCTCATATCAATCCCAGCAGGTTTTTCCCACAATTACATATTTCTTAAATAACACATGTAAGCAACATTATACACACCCATCATACATACTTGACTGCAGTTATATTAAAAGTTGTTATACCTAAACTAAAATTAAAGTTTTTATGATAAAATCTTGAGCAACACAGTGTAAACAATGGTTGACTTACAGTGCTTGGCGTTTTCAGCTGATGCCAGGCACTTCTCGAGGCAATGTCTGGTTGGGTTGCCTGAGCGACCGTACTTATACAACTGCAATATATGTATAGATTAAACACAACTTTACAACTACTGCTACCATATTCTTGACTAGAAAACATGTTTTCATTAAATGTTCAATCCAGACATTATTGTAACTGTAAAGTTTCTTATTCTAATTTTAAATATAGTTTATTCGTTTACTTATTCGATTACATGGAATAAATACGGCTAGGAATCCCTATCCTTTAATAGTCTTCCGATCCAACTATTACTGCTATCCTTCAATAGCCTTCCAGTCCAACTATTACCGCTATCCTTCAATACCTAACTATTGCCCCTTATCTTTAATAGTCTTCCGGTCCAACTATTACCTCTATCCTTATCTTCTTGAGGTTGTATCTTGAGATGATTTCGGGGCTTAGCGTCCCCGCGGCCCGGTCCTCGACCAGGCCTCCTTTCTGTTACACACCCCCAGGAAGCAGTCCGTAGCAGCTGTCTAACTCCCAGGTACCTATTTACTGCTAGGTGAACAGGTGCATCAGGGTGAAAGAAACTATGCCCATTTGTTTCCGCCTACACTGGGGATCGAACCCTGAACCTCAGGACTACGAATCCGAAGTGCTGTCCACTCAGCTGTCAGGCCCCTACTTTATAACTCCTTCAATAATCTTCCGGTCCAACTATTACCCCTCTCCTTCAATAAACTGCATCACATATTAAATTTGAAAGATATTGTCATACCCTACAATGGGTGTTGTGTTATTTCAGGAAAACTTTATAACACTTCAACAAATCTCAAAGGTTCCTAGGTGTAGTAATGAGCCAGACCTAGAAACCTTAGACTGAATGATAATACCATTAGTTAGTGTACTGTCATTCGAAAATTATTGGTTTTGTATAGGCCTTAATCAGGCCTATACAAAACCAATAGCACTTGATAAGAAAGTTTTCTATATGGCATCATAAATCCAAGAAATTGACAAGTCCAGTGTTGTTAATGGTAAAATTCGAAGCCTACCGCTGTCCCATCACAACATGCCATATGTTAGCACAGTATCGATACATTTGGAAAGCCAGACAAGTTAAAACATTCAACACTAACTTTAAACTCAGAAGGACCTTCTTGCTTATACGTTGTTGACAAGGAAATTAGCGGAACAAGTGCTAAATGGTTCCACTGTTCAGGTTCGTTGCCTTCATGGATGGCCCGGGAGCAGAAGGTGGGATCGTTCTTCTTGTAGCCTAACTCAGACATTATGCTTCAGGACGATGGTCAATATTCTGCAACCAAGACAATTATATTGGTTATAATTCCTTATGTCAATAGCAGTTTAGACAGTCAATGCTGAAGTGCACAAATATATACAAGAACAAAGTTGCTGAAAGAGTTACTAGGAGTTAGGGAAGAGTTGCTAGGAGTTAGTGGGAGAGATAATAAGATATTAAGATACTAAGCTGGGAGAGACACTAAGATGTAAGCTGGGATTATACTAAGAGATACTAAGAGAGCTGCTGGGAGAGATACTAAAAGTGTTGCTGGGAGAGATACTAAGAGAGCTGCTGGGAGAGATACTAAAAGTGTTGCTGGAAGAGATACTAAGAGAGCTGCTGGGAGAGATGAATAAACAGGATGAAACAAGTACATAACACAGACGAGTGCACGGAATACTGAGCCAGAACTCGTCACCCATTTACACAACCACTTACGAAGCCTGTAAATCTTTATTTAATGATGCTGGCTTTGTTTTTATTTGTTAAATACTCTACAAACCTAGAAACTTCTCAACCCAAATGTTTTATTGTTATAATAAACTGAAATGTACAGTGTTAGAGCCTCTTGTATAATGTTTGAGTCTCTTGTACAGTGTTAGAGCCTCTTGTATAATGTTTGAGTCTCTTGTACAGTGTTAGAGCCTCTTGTATAATGTTTGAGTCTCTTGTACAGTGTTAGAGCCTCTTGTATAATGTTTGAGTCTCTTGTACAATGTTAGAGCCTCTTGTATAATGTTTGAGTCTCTTGTACAGTGTTAGAGCCTCTTGTATAATGTTTGAGTCTCTTGTACAATGTTAGTCTCAATGTTAGAGCCTCTTGTATAATGTTTGAGTCTCTTGTACAGTGTTAGAGCCTCTTGTATAATGTTTGAGTCTCTTGTACAATGTTAGAGCCTCTTGTATAATGTTTGAATCTCTTGTACAGTGTTAGAGCCTCTTGTATAATGTTTGAATCTCTTGTACAGTGTTAGAGCCTCTTGTATAATGTTTGAGTCTCTTGTACAGTGTTAGAGCCTCTTGTATAATGTTTGAATCTCTTGTACAGTGTTAGAGCCTCTTGTATAATGTTTGAATCTCTTGTACAGTGTTAGAGCCTCTTGTATAATGTTTGAGTCTCTTGTACAGTGTTAGAGCCTCTTGTATAATGTTTGAGTCTCTTGTACAGTGTTAGAGCCTCTTGTATAATGTTTGAGTCTCTTGAACAGTGTTAGAGCCTCTTGTATAATGTTTGAGTCTCTTGTACAGTGTTAGAGCCTCTTGTATAACGTTTGAGTCTCTTGTAGTGTTAGAGCCTCTTGTATCGAGCCTTTTGTATAGTGTCTGCGCTTCTTGTACAGTGTTACAGTCTTGTACAGTGTTAGAAGCTTTTGTACAGTGTTTGAGTCTCTTGTAGAATGTTAGAGCGTCCTTTACAGTGTTAGAGCCTCTTATGCAGTGTTAGAGTCTTGTGCAGTGTCTATTGTGGTATTAGAGACTCTTATACAGCGTTAGAGCCTCTTGTGCAGCATTAGATGTTCTTGTACAGTGTTAGAGCCACATAGACAACGTTAGAGCTTCTTGTACATTGTTTGTAAAGGAGGTGTTGTTTTAATTTTGCCGGCTGTGGCGGGTAGGAACTCAACCCCCCCCCCCCCACCCCGTCCTAGGCTGAGGGTGAGGCAAAACAAACTAATTATATTTTCACACAGAAATCACAATAGCGTGATGCATCAAATGTTGCATGGTCGAGCAAGGCTCCTAACCCCGCCTTCTGAACCTTCATAGAATAATCCAATGATTCATTTCTCACGCTATTATCATATTTACATTTACAAATTTTAATCTACAGGGCGTCAGTGACTTCTGCATCTAACATAATCAACTAATTGAGTGCTCTAACACTGAAAAAGTTATTCCTGATGTATCTATGACTCATTTGCGTCTCCAGTTTCCATCTATGACCCCTCGTTCTGTGTGTTCCTAGCTCTGAACAACACCGCTCTGTCAATTTCCCTTAGAATCTTATATATTGTTATCATGTCCCCACTATCTTTCCTTTCCTTTCTTTCAGTGTAGTAAGGTCCAGTTTGCTCAGTCTTTCCTCATAGCTCAATCCCTTCAGCTCCGGAACGAGTCTCGTTGCATATCTTTGGACCTTTTGTAGTTTTTCCTTGTCATTTTTTAGGTAAGGGTTCCATGCTGGGGACGCATTTTCAAGAGTGGGTCTCACTTTTACTGTATATAGAGCCTGGAAAGCTCCTTTGTCCAAGTTTATAAAGGAGACACGAATGTTGGCCACTATGCCATACGCAGCGTTTGTTATTTTACTAATGTGGGTTTCTGTCATCTAATTTGGGGTTATGTCAACTCCCAGGTCTCTCTCCTTTTCTGATTGAAGAATTTGTCTTCCCTTCATCCTATACTGTTGTATTGATCTTTGCATTCCTGTTCCAATCCTCATAACTTTGCATTTGACTGGGTTAAATTCTAGCAGCCATTTTTCAGAGCACTTCTGGAATGTGTCCAAATCCTTTTCAAATCCATGACAATCTAACGCTGGTCTGATTCTTCTCATTAGTTTTGTATTGTCTGCAAACATTGATATGAAAAAGACAGTTTCCTCTTCAATTGTGTAAGAACTGATGTGCAAGGTGAAATGTTTTGTTTGATGCTGGTATAAAAGTTTGTACTGTAAGCGTTTTCATAGTTTGTACTGTAAGCGTTTTCATAGTTTGTACTGTAAGCGTTTTCAAAGTTTGTACTGTAAGCGTTTTCATAGTTTGTACTGTAAGCGTTTTCAAAGTTTGTACTGTAAGCGTTTTCAAAGTTTGTACTGTAAGCGTTTTCAAAGTTTGTACTGTAAGCGTTTTCAAAGTTTGTACTGTAAGCGTTTTCAAAGTTTGTACTGTAAGCGTTTTCAAAGTTTGTACTGTAAGCATTTTCAAAGTTTGTACTGTAAGCGTTTTCAAAGTTTGTACTGTAAGCGTTTTCAAAGTTTGTACTGTAAGCGTTTTCAAAGTTTGTACTGTAAGCGTTTTCAAAGTTTGTACTGTAAGCGTTTTCAAAGTTTGTACTATGCAGTTTCTGCTTCCTATGAGGTACAGTGTGATGTACCTAATAGACATAGAGTGTCATTGTTCCCATCCCCAAACCACACTCATATAATTATAGACCCATATCTCTAACATCGTGTGTTTGCAAAGTGCTTGAACGTATTGTTCTTAACCAACTCGTGTATCGTATACAGGGGCACCTGTCACCCCCAACTGTTTGGATTCATGCCTGGGCTCAGTACACAACACTGTTTTGCTGAGTACTTCGCACATATTGAAGCTTCCCCTCAAACAGTCTTCATCGACCTAGCAGCAGCTTTTGATACAGCAAACAGAGAAATCATACTGGAACAGCTTGCCGAGCTGGGAATACAAGGAAAATTACTGAAATGGATAAAGGGCTATTTGTCTAATCGAACAGCATATGTTTTGTTTAATGGTGTTAAAAGCACAGAGAGCAAACACTTTGAACTGGGAACTCCACAAGGAGGGGTCCTCAGCCCCTTTTTGTTCAACGTTCTGATGCATAAACGTATTAAAGATCTTCCAACTAATAATGAAGACACTGTCATTTGTTATGCTGATGATATATGTTTACAGGCTGCCTCCGAGCCTAGAATGCAAGTTCTGCTCGACGATTTTGCTACTAGAGCTGAGGAATGTGGCCTCCTTATCTCTATACAGAAAACTCGTGCCCTCATTCCATGTGGTATTCCACCACCCAATTATCATATAGATGGGCGAGCACTTGAGAACTGCGAGTCTTACAGATACCTTGGTGTCCCCATTAATGACCCTGGGTACCTTTCTTCTCTCAAGAGGAGACTTTGGGAGAGATTAAAGCCCTTGCGGGTCCTTGTTGATGTCAATCATGGACTTAACGTGAGACTTGCTAGAATGTTTTATGTATCATTTATACGCTCTGTGATTGACTACAATGCTCTACATACAAGAATGAAGCGCGTCAATGACTGGGCAAGTACAACTCAAAACGAACTTTTGAATACCTTGCCACTGAAATGAAGCAATGCGTCTCGTCCCCGTAGGGCTCCAAAGTCCACGAGAACAGTTAATATGAGAGCAGAGTTAAAATTACCTACCATAAGTGAGAGAATTTTGTCTATTAGCACAGTTTTCGGCGTGAAGGCATTGAGTAGATCACTATAGTGTTTCATTAGCAGTGACAAAGAGAATACTTAAACAAATATCTAATGAAGATCTCACCGACCTAACAAAGTCACAAAGACCGGAGAGTTGTAGCATTCAATATTATGATAGATATCGTGAGGAGACATTCACATATGGGACTAATAGAACAAGAACCCGGCAATGTGATGTTATAGTGGCCAGAATACGCCTGGGATATAGACGTATCTGGCAGCTTTCTCAATACCCAAATGTCGAGTACACAATGTGTCAACTTTGTGAAAGAGAAAACATGCACTCTCTTGAACATTATATTGTAGAATGTCCCATATTGTCTGACTTTCGCCCTCCTGGGCTAAGGTATGCTGAACTGTGTAATTACTATATGAGTACTGGAACACTTGATATATTGGACTTGTATCCAAGATTGACCATGTAATATATCAATTATACAATGTATATATATGATGTAACTATATAACCTGAGCTTGTAAAAGCACCTTCATCACCTTCAGTGATTAAGTGCTTAATTGCACATTAGTTTCTTTATCGGCTATCTCACCCTGTCAGAGTAAATGAGACAAATGTATGTGAATGCATGTGTATATATACATGTATGTATATGTGTGTGTGTATGTATATGTATGGGTATAAAGTATATATAGAAGCTGATCAGAATTACATTTCACCTTTGTGAATGTACATTAATGACACTATGTAAAAGACACATCGAACACTTTATGTAGGGCATACGTAAATCTGTGTATCTATATATTTACGTATGTACTTTAACTGAGCCTTTTAAAGGCACCGAATCACCTTCTGTGGTTG